GGAAAGATATTCAATGTTTATGGATTGGAAGAATTAAAATGGTTAAAATGCCCATACTACCCCAAACCACCTACAGATTCAATGCAATCTCTATCAAAATTCCCATGGCCTTTCTCACAAAAGATTAAAAAAAAAAAAAATCTTAAAACTTTTCGAAAATCTGTGGAACCACCAAAGAGTCGCAGCACTCTTGAGAAGGACGAATGGAGCTGCAGGCCTCCCGCTTCTTCATCTTCCCATTAAAAACTATAGTAATCGGAATTATGGGGTACTGGCTTAGAAATAGAGGCGTAGAGCAGCAGAATAGAATCGGGAGCCCAGAAGTCAGTGCACGCACATAATGTCAACTGTTCTTGGGCAAAGCCCCAGTAGCACACATTGGGGAAGCCGGGCGACCTCCTACAGAGAGTGGAGGGCAACTGGACCCCACATTACAGCATTCACAAAAAACGACTTGAGATGGATTAAAGACCTTTAAGACCTGAAACCATTAAACCTCTCCCATACGCATACATAGGGAAAAAACTTCTTGACATGGGTCTTGGCAATGTTTTGACTTTGACAATGAAAGCAAAAGTGAACAAGAGGGACTACATCAAACAGCAGCTTCTGCACGGCAAAGGAAATGGTCGACAATGGAGCGGCAACGTATGGCATAGGAGGGAAGCCCTTGCCAACCGAGTTTCTGAGAAGGGGTTGGTACCTAAACTAGACAAGGAGTTCATACAATTCAGTAGCAAAACCCCGAGTACTCTAGTGAATGAAATGAGCTAAAGCCCCGAGTAAACACTTTCTCAAAGAAGAGACCCGGATGGCCAAGGGGTACATGAAAAGGAAGTTACCATCACCCACTGTCAGGGGCTACAAATGGAAGCCGTGGTGTCCCCTCACAGCCGTTAGAGTCTGTCAGCAAAGATACAGGTGGTAACAGGTGTTGGCTCCCACGCCCCTTCAGATGCCCAAGGATGTGGAGAAAAGGAAACCCTTGTACACTCGAGGTGGGAAAGTGAAGTGGAAAACCCTTACAGGAAACAGTGGGCAAGTTCCTCAGAAACTAAAAACAGACTATGGTAGACCCAGCGATGCTTCTGGGAATATGCCCGAAGGACGTGAACTCAGTCCCTGGATGAGCTGTCTCTGCTCCCTGCTCGTCAGAGCGCTAGTCACGATAGCCACGACAGGGAGACAACCTGAGCACCAGCGGGCAAGTGGATAAAGAAAACGTGTGTGGGGCACCTGGGTGGCTCAGTGGGTTAAGCCTCTGCCTTTGGCTCAGGTCATGGTCCCAGGGTCCTGGGATCGAGCCCCACATCGGGCTCTCTGCTCCGCAGGGAGCCTGCCTCCACCTCTCTCTCTACCTGCCTCTCTGCCTACTTGTGATCTCTGTCAAATAAATAAAATCTTTACAAAAAAAAAAAAAAAGAAAACGTGTGTGTGCATGTATACGTGCGCACACACACACCACACACACCACACGGCACACAGAGGCAGTCCTGCCGTTGGTGACCACGTGCACACGTCTAGAGGCGTCGTGCCAAGTGAAAGAAGCCAGATGGAGAAACAGAATAAAATGGGCCTTGCGAGGACCTGGCGTGCAGCGAGGAGGAGATGTTGGTCACGGGGACTGACTTCGTTGTAAGGTGAATGAGTTTGAGGTGCTAGTGTACAGCTTGATGACTGCGGTTAATAACACTGTGCTGTATATTGGAAAGTTGCCCAAAGAGTAGATCTCAGGCGTTCTTGCCAAAAGGAAAAAATAAAACAAAATATGTGAAGTGATTGATTTGTTAATTTACCTCATTACGGTAATAAAATCCTAATGTATACATATATCAAATCATCACATCTACACTCCACGTATACAAATTCGTCAATTATACCTCAATAAAAATTTTTAAAAAATAAAGCAGAACTGACATTTCAGAGGAAGAGATTAGCACTACCAGAATGAAGCAGAGGAGGAACACGGAAATAACCGAGCTCCTGCGACTCGTGGGGCAGCTTTGGGCAGACTAACGTGTGCATAGCCGGAGTCCCCAAGGAGAGGAGAGAGAAGGGCGGAGAAGAAAGGACACCGAGAAACGATGGGTCAGAATTCCAAAGGTGGTCATCTTTAAAGAGGGAAACATCGGGTACTAAGGAGCCCTGGTAAGAACGGTAGCTGACTTTTCGTTGGAAACGATGCAAGCCAAGACGTGAGATCAACATCTTTAAAATATGAAAAACAGAAAACTACCTGCCTAACAATCTACATTCGGAAAGTATCTTTAAAAGCCAGAGGTAAGGGGCGCCTGGAGGGCTCAGTCAGGGAAACGTCTGCCTTAGCCCAGGTCATGATCCTGGGGTCCTGGTATCGAGCCCCTCGACGGGCTCCCTGCTCGGTGAGGAGTCTGCTTCTCCCTCTCCTTCTGATGGCTCATGCTCTCTCACTCTCAAATTTTTAAAAAATATTTAAAAATTTAAAAAAGATCTAAATATTTATTAAAATATACAAAATCTGAAAGAGTGACTCGGACAACAGGAAACATAGGGGAAGCTCTTCATGTGGAGGAAAGTGGCGCGGGAGGGAAGTCTGGGTCTGCAGAAAGTGGGGAGGGGCCCGGAAAGGGCCACCATGGGAGCAGGAGCGAAAGACTCGACTGATACTTAAATCTCCTCAAAAGGTCATTGGCTGTTGAGAGGGAAGATACCAATGTGAATCCCCAGACTCTGTCCAGGTCGACGGCGGCGTTGGCGCCGTCCCAAGCAGAGGCCCGGCAGGAGAGCTCCAGAGACGGGCACGCGGGTCACAAAACGTGTGCGGAGACGCGATGGCGCCAAGATCGCCACGCGCAGCGCTGGAACTGCAGGAGGGCATCGAGGATGGCCGCTGCCTCGCCCGCGGGGGGACGGTGGCGGCGCCCACGTCAGCCGCAGTGGCGCTGGCCTGAAGGACGCGATGTCCACGGGACGAGTCCAGCGTTAGACCCGCGAACATACGGCCAGTTGCCTTTTGACAGAGGCGTGACGGCGTTCGGTGGCGGAGGAAGTTGTTCCTTACACGGATGGCGCTGGAGCAGCCCGCGTCTGAGCCGGAACCGAACCAAACCAACAAGCGCACCGGCCCCCACCTCCCACCGCACGCGGACACGAGACCTCACGTGAGACGTGAGCGTCGGGAGACAACTTCCAGAGCAACAACAGCAAATCTTCATGATTTGGGTTAGGCAAAGACTTCTTAGATTTGATGTCAAGAGCATAATTCATACAAGAAGTTGATACATTTTGTTACAATGAAGAACCTTTGTTCTTTGATACTGTTCAGAAAATGAAATACCAAGTAGGTCCTGAGTGAAGATGTCGGCGAGTCCCGTGTCTGACCAAGGGCTGCGCCCCAGAATGTGCAGGGAGCTCTCAGTGCTCCAGAAAACAACCAAAAAAGAAAAAAAAGAAAGAAAGAAAAGAAAAAAGAAACTGGAAAGCTCTGGGTAGGCACTTTCCCCAGTGAAGACCGTGGACGGACTGAAGAATGGACTCTGAGAAGCGCCGCTTTCCCCGTCCTCAGCGCTCCTCTCCTCTCTCCCACCGCACGTGCACTTCCCGCACCCCAAGTCTCCGAGACACCTGCTGCGTGTCCTCCCGTTTTAGACAATTCTCATGCTCTCCCTGGGGACAGCACCAGATCCCAAGCTGAAGGACTCAGTCCCACAGAGCTGCTCGCCCACTTTGGTGCCAGTGGCGAGTACAAGGCCCCCAAGGTACCCCCAACTTCTGTCCTTTTGTTCTACAAACGAGGGGATCAAACCGTTTTCCAGAGCAACTCACAGAACTCAGGGGAACACGTTTACCAATTTATTATATAATAAAGGTGCGGATGAGCGGCCAGATAGAGACGTAGGGGCAAGTTCGGGGGGGGGTCCTGAGCAAGGGCAGAAGCTTCTGTCCCCGTGGAGCTGGGTGGGCCACCCTCCCAGTATGTGGACGTGTTTACCAGCCTGAAGGCTCCCTGGACCCTGTACTATTGGGATTTTATGGGGGTTTTCTCACATAGGCACAATCCAATTAGTGATGCATTTCTGGAGGGTGGGGCTGGGGCTGAGAGCCCCAAGCTTGTCATTAGGGCTTCGCCTTTATGGGACCAGCCCACAGTCTTTGGAAGGAAGGATGCCCCCCAGTGCTCTAACACTTAGAGCATCACAAGCGTTTCAGGAGCGCTGTACTGGGAACTGAGGTGGAGACCCGTGTGCGTTCTGGACCAAATCACGGCGACACACGTCCTAGATGGCTGCACGCACAGACCGACCCCACTCAGTGTGGGAGAGGATGTGGGGACGCCACAGCTCTCCGGCCGCGGGAATGCAGAATGGCACAGCGCCTTTGGAAGAGCTTAGCAGTTTCGTAGAAGCAAAGTGAGGCCCGCGAGACAAATCCTGGGTTCCTACTGCCCACGCCTCTGCCCCTGCCAAGCGGGTGCTCTCATCCCAACCCTGTCAGGGAGTAAGTGAAAGAAAACGTGTTTTCCAAGTGTTATAAGAGTTTATCTGAAGTTGGTGTAATTATGTAAAAATTCAATGTCCAGTGAAATTATCTTTTTTTCCCCCACAATTAAAAAGGTATTGAAAATGTTGTTTGCTTTCTCACTTAAAGCTTTGCATTTTGAGGGTGCCTGGGTGGCTCAGTCGTTAAGCCTCTGCCTTCAGCTCAGGTCATGGTCTCAGGGTTCTGGGATCCAGCCCTGCATCGAAGCCCACTTCTCTCTCTCCCACTCCCCCTGCTTGTGTTCCCTCTCTCGCTGTGTCTCTGTCTGTCAAATAAATAAATAAAACCTTAAAAAAAAAAAAAGCTTTGCATTTTGGGGGAATATTTAAAGATTTTGTTATATGTCTTTGTATTCTCTTGTTTTTGTTGAATTTCTACCTAGTACATTAGTAGTATTTTAAAATGGTCTTTGAGGTTAATGAATGTGTGATTGCTTCCTTTAAAAATCTCCTATATATGCAGAAACTGTGTGTGTCCCGCAGGATCCTGGGAAGCTGATTGAAATCGAGTGCCTGGAGTGTGAACTGGAAGCTTTAAGTCTCGAACGTAAACTTAAAGTCTATGTCCGAGCGGCCGTTGAGGTAAATCCCTGAACAGGAGACGGCATCACTCAGCAGTTTTGTGCATTTCCTGGAAGCTGCCGGCCCCTCGGGTGACGGGGACACAAGGGCACCTGCTGTTTAACGCAGTAGGTTTGGACCAGCAGCCCCGGCCGGGAAAGGAATCCAAAGATTGTTTTAGATTACTCGTTAATGAGAATTTTGCAACTTAAAAGGAAAAGCAAACGGTTGGCACCAAGTAGTGGTGGCTAGTGAGGCTGAGGCAGGAGCTCCTGGGGTTTGCTCGGGGCGCCCCAGAGAGCCTTTGGGCCAGAGAGCAGGGGCGGGCCATGGGGCTCCATCCTCCGCACCTGCAGTAGGCTCTGCGCCTTCAGTGCTGCCTGGCGGACGTCCGTGTTCCTCCTGGACTTGCTCGCGGGGCTTCTCTAGCCCTGAGCCTACCTGGCACCTGGCAGGAGCCTGACCAGGGCAGCGTCGGGGGACAGCGACGGGCATGGTTTCCCGAGCACCCCAGCCCCACGTCTGGTCGCGGGCTGCAGTAGCACGGGTGGCCCGAGGGGCTGCAGCGGGTGGCTGTGTCAAGCTCAGTCCCTCTGCTGCTGCTTACTGGCACGGGTCCGGGCGCATTGGCTGCCCACTCGGGAGGCAGAGTGAGGGGAGGCCCTGAGGCTGCCAGCAGCCAGAGGCCGAGGGACCGAGCTTCGGGTCAGCGGGCAGCCCCAGGGGGCTCTGAGGAAGCGTGGGCCGTAAGCCGGTTCCCCACATCTTCAGATGTGAGACCAGAGGCTGTCTGGTGGGAAGGGCGCATGTAGCACAGGACAGAGGCGATGGTCTCTGCGTTGTAGACAGAGCTGGCCGCAGGCCACAGTGGTCCCTGTACCAGCTCGAGAAACACACACCCTCGGATGGAAGCTGCTCGTGCGAGAGAAGCACTGAGTGGATGTGCAGGGCCCATTCCAGGCCTTTCAGGGACGTGTCTTACAGACAAGCAGCCCCTTGTAGGAGTGGGGACACAGGCCCTGGCCAGAGACAGACTCAGACGCCAGGCCCCGGTCCCCACAGCCACCCGAGCCTCCAGCTCCCTGTGGGGAGGGGGTGGCGGGGTTTGCGTCCTGTCGGCACAGGTGGCCCATGGGTCTCATGCAGGTGCAGCTGAGCATAGTACAGAGGCTCGACGTGGCCCTGCAGCGAGCCGTGCGCCTGGGCGAGCCTGGGCTCATCCACGTGGTGTGCGCTACGCAGTGGAACACGTGTCTCCCTCTGCTGCAGCACAACCTGCGGCGCCAGCTGCGGAAGCCACTGAGCAACATCGCCGACGTCCTGGAGAAGGCAGACAGGTAGTCTGTGTCCCCAAGAAGTGGGTGCTCGTGCGGGGAGGCCTGGGGCGGATCCCTCAACACCGGGAGGAAGGTGAGGTCCTACTCATGTCCCCAAAAAGTGCCAGCAGGAAACTCTACCTACATCAGAAAGGACTTGGCCGTTGGTGACAGGGTCACGAGTGTGCCCTGGGCAGGACAGGGTGGCCGTCCCCACGGGCTGGCATAAAGTCAGGGCCAGCCGCATCCCGGCACCGAGGCTCTGACTGCCTGCCACACGCCGACGGCAGGATTCAGGGCAGGTCCGACCTCCTCCGCAGACCAGTGCCAGTGCCCTGTTGTCTCCGCTCCACGGGCTCTGATGGGAGAGCCTGCCACAGCCACGGTGTGGTGCCCGCTGGCCATGACACCAGGTGCATCATCTGGTGTCTGGGCGCTAACGGGTCAGTGCTGAGGTGTGGGACTCCAAGTCTTCTGTCCGCACTGGGTTGGACACATTTGTCACACAGTTGCTGAGCACCTGTCCTGGGCCAGGCACAACAGTAGGCCCTAGAGATGTGCTGTGAGGGTGTACAGCTGAGCACCTGCACCTGCACCTGTACCCGCACCTGCACCTGTACGCACACCTGCACCCACACCTGCACCTGTACCCACACCTGCACCCACACCTGCACCTGTACGCACACCTGCACCCACACCTGCACCTGTACGCACACCTGCACCCACACCTGCACCTG